TCTGATGCTGGAGCTCTAACAGAAACTTATCTTTGGCAAAACTCGTGAGCCCGATGAGCCGCAGCTCTTTCACAGGTTTTACATTCAGCTGCTCGGTTGGAACTCGGCCCTGGCGGGGCTGCTGGAACACAAACCTGAGGCAGGAGGCCTCTGAAAAACAGATTTTTACCCCAAGTACTGCTTCTAAAAAAGACCCTTTGGGAGTCTTCTACCTATCACCTCCTTACTTTGCTGCTTTTACCCCATTTGCTAATTTAAAAAAAAAAAAATATCTGTTTTTTTGTGGTGGTTTTTTTTCCCTTTCCTCCCTGGGACTTCGCCTTTCCTGGTGTACTGGAACCCGGTTTTTAGCCTCATTTCTTATGGAAATAAGCCTTACATAATGAACTGATTTGCATTTCTCCTTTAAACCCGGGAGGCCCACAGGGTAAAGGTCTCACAAGTAAACCTCGGAGCCCGGGAAAAGAGAAAGCAGAGATACAACCCTACGGGCGGGCGAGATTTGATAGATTAGAGGCCCCACTTCCTCGGGTCTGCGAAAGCAAAGGGGTCAGAGCTGACTTCTGTGTTTCAACACTGCTTATTTTGGCATAACACAGAGTTTAAAAGAAAAATTTGGTGCAAAGCTGCTGTATTTAAAGCTGCTACAAGTAGAATGTAAAATAAAAATCACTAAGACCTTGACAAGCCTTAAAATTGCTAAAGAGAAACAAAAGCAAAAAAACCAAAAAGTTGGAGAAAGAAGGAAAAATAAAACTAAGCTGGAAACTGAAGAATTTAACTATTTTTGGTAATACAGACAAAAAATTAGTATTTTACATTCAAAGTAGTGAATGCTTACGAGATGTGTTCCCTCACACCGAGCTTAAATACAAAGTTTTATTAAAAATAAATCCTGCTCCACTGTTTTGACTGGAAGCATCAGAAGCTGTCAGCTCCTCAGGCTCCGCATCGGCACGACACAGATTCGCCCTCTGGAGCTTTGTACTGCTGGGGCACAGCGTGAGGGCTGAGAGAGCTGCGCAAGTCCTGCCACCCTGTGGGCCAACCCTGCCCAGCTGCAGCTTAACGTGAAAAACAAAAGATTTACACCCAAGAAACCCAACCAGCCCAGTCTCTTTGAAAAAAATAAAAATACAGGTGATTTGGAATTGTATGAGGTGATTAAGGTCCCCTCCAACCCAAATGGTTCTATGACTTTCCTAAACTACAGTGCTGGTAGTTTTACTGTCCCAAAATCTCAGCGTGTGAAGATTCGCCAAATCCCGGTGGAAACATGAAAACATCACTCTGTACCATCCTTTGTACCATCCCTAGCAAACATGCACAGACTCACTCACACATATTTTAAAAAGACGTTCTTGTAGAACTCCACGCTGTGTAACACACTGAACACCCAATTAACCGAGCAATGTCACCAGGTCACAAGACTATTACATCATCACCAATTTGGCCGGCGCTCCTAACGACTACTCAACAAAGAGCGGCTGCGATTTTCACATTCCTTGAACCCAAACCAGATCCCACCGCGCTCAGCAGGGCAGAGCTGCTCCATAGGATTCCAAGAGTAGGGCTGGTAAAGGAAACCTCATACACCGACATCATTGTGCTGAAAAAAATTTTCAACTCCAAATTAAATGGACATGGGAAAAGTTTAGTACCAGACTTCCATCTGAATGCTCGGGAGGGAAAAAACTCCAAAAAGGTAAATTGCTGCTGTCGCCCCACAGCCGAAACACCCGCACGCAGAGAGGCGGAACCGTAAAAGCTCCAGCAGGATGAAGCTCTTGGCGATCTAACGCCGGGTTCCTCAGCTCAGGATGCGTCACAGTACTAGTATGGTCCAGGCTCACTCTGCCAATGTTCTGCACCCTCACGTGTAGGGGGATGATGAAAATGGCTTCACTGGAGGGTTTTTTTCTTCTGCAAGAGGATGCTAAAACTCGGGACATCAGCTCAGAGCTGCCAGCCGCTTGCTCAAGTAAAGGACTGAGCACTGCAACACGGCGTTGGTTGTGAGATACAAAAATCTTAGTTTATTTGTTAACATTTACAAAGACACAAAAGAGTTCTTTTTCAGGACTTTACAGACTGTTCCATCCTCTCCGCCACCCACACTTCGCTCTGGGAGAAATGAGAGGGACAGCGCTGAGCTGGCCAAGCCATTTGAGGGGCATTACGTGGAGTTTTGCTTTGAAGCCTTGGCCAACCCCATTTCCTTTTAGTCAAATTTTGTACCATTTCTATTCCCATTCTACTCCAGGTACTAAAATATGCAAAATTCTAGGACCATCTGAAATTCTGTTCTACTTAACAGATTAATTTCTGACATCCTAGAATTCCTCCAAAGGCTTCTTTGAAACGACCCCTGATTAGCCCCATTCAAGTGTTAGATGGAAGAGGTTTTATTGTTTTTCGTTTGTTTTGTTTTGTTGTTTGTTTTTTTTAAATAACCCCACAGTGGTCACGAATGTCGAACTCTGTTTTAAACATCTATAAAAGCGTTTACAGACCTAGATGTCTAAGCTTAGGTCATTAAAAGAAAGGTTAACTCCCGATAGTCCTGCAACGCCTTCGGTTTTACAGCTCATTCTGGAAGTGCCACGGGAAGGAATCTGAAAGATACAAAGACACCACGTTTACATAATTGGCGTTAAAATAAAAGCTCGTTCATTTTTACAAGGCAGTAGCTACGTGCCATTCGCAGGCACAGAGGATGGCACCTGGGAGCCCCCGGCGCACGCAGACCCCCCCCGGCTTCACTGCAACGATTACCGCGACCCCGTGCCGCGACAGGCAGAACGCCGCTTGGTACAAGAGCAGCGGAAACGTCCCACAACATCCACCGGGAGCGAGTCTTCCAGGAGCTTCAGCAGGCACCCGTCATGTCTCGTTTGGCTAACGAGCAGCACAAGCATCCCATGAGGGCATCGCTGTAGAGGCAGGGCAGCGCGTTGCTCCCTAAAGGATCGCCAACAAGATGTTCTTGCAGATGGTTTCTGCAGCTCGGGAGGTTAAAAGGGCTGAGCTGCTCCAGAGGGTCAAGAAGCTCCCAGCGGGCTCCCTCCCTGCCCCTGTTCTCAGAGCGCAGAACCCAGACTCTCTCGTTAGCGGGGTGATTAGCACAGACTCGAAAGAGCTGCTCTTGTCGCTTCACACCTTCCGTCCTTTCTTGCTGCCACGTATTTTTAACTCAAATTCCGTCACAGCGCTCAGGGTGGTGGTTCCTCTACAAAGGCGCGTCCCACCTGCAGCTCCCGCTCGGACGTGGGGTCAGATCACTTCTCTGCCCTGCCAGCCATCGGCTCCTCGGCTCCGGGCAGCACCAGGACACAAGGACTCCCTCCTCTCCAGTCACCTCCCGCCGCCGCCTGCCACACCGCAGAAGGCGCGGAGTAAAGCAGCAGGAGGAATTCCACTGGCCAGAACTGCTACTCACAGGGTGTATTTTGATCTAGCACTTTGCTAGAAGATCAGCCAACACCACCTCCACCAGCACTCCCAGGCCCCTTCGAGATCTGCTGCCAGCCACTAACCCTCCTTAACCAGGACAACAAGTGTTCAAATGTGCATTTTCAACAAGATTATTTTTTATTTTTTTAGTTTTTTCCCCAAACCATGGACCAAAATAATCCTAGAGATGCAGTCATCAGAGCCAAGCTTTCCATTTGCTGAGAGTCACCCCACCTACGGCTGAAGAGTTTTCCTTAATTTTAAAACGTGTCTGCTATCAAATAAGAGAATCAGCCAGTGGCGGGGAAACCGGTATCTTGACTTTTTTTTCAGAACTCCGCTCTGTACTGCAAAGTACAGGGTAGGAAGCCCGACTGAAGGCAAGTTTGAGCTCTTACATCAAACGATAAATACTAATTCAGGCCCAGCGGCAGTGGCTGAGATCAGAGATCTCAGAAAAAACAGAATTTCAGAAGCAAAGGCAAATAAGCAAAAGAGGAGGAAAGCAGATGCGCATCACCTCTCCACAACAGCCTCTCCCAGGGACTGCAGGGACACTATAATCCCAAATCAGCTATTTCTAACCCACTTCCAGTGACTTTTTTCAGCATGTTGTCTTCTTACTCGTGGCCCTTTCCTCCCCAGCCCCTTTTCCTTTTTTATTCTCTCCCCCAAGCTCTCGGCTGTCCGTCCCACACTTGTTTTCTCCGGCATTCCAAGTGGGATCGTTAGCTCTGCGCTCGCGTTACAGCGAGAGCTGCCAATCTCACTTCCCAGGACGACGCGCCAGCGCCCCAGCGGCACCTGCAAAGCTCTTCCTGTCCGGGAAACACCAGCACATCTTGTTAACGCCCCCAACGGGAGAAAAACCCCCGTGCAGGCAGGGGGGCACAGTGGCACAACCCCCTCAGCAAGGTGCTGTCTCGAAGACGTGTGCTTCTGACAACAATCCCATCCCGAGTGCTCGGGAACGTTACCGGGAACTGCTCCTGCTCTGCTTCCAGCGAGGGAGGAGGCGGATCTGTGGCGCTTGTTCTGCCTCTCGGAAAGGCTCGGGGAATCCCGCACGCTACGGGCAAAATAAGGGGCACTAAGGACGGGAATTTCCCAGCAACGGCTCCAGCGCTCACGTATCAGCATCTAAGAGGCTTTGAGTTCAGACAATTCTTAAATCTACTAAAGGGCTGACCCGTCTTCCAGACAGGCACATCCCTGCAGGTTACCTACACCAGTTTATGCCAAGAGGCAATTCTGAACATCTACCCACATTTGGGCTACCTTTTCCTTCTCTAAAGCCCCGTCACCCTGACAGCACCAGAGACGTCCCGCAGGAGATCTGGACTCAAACCGACACAAATTGCAGAGGCTCTGCAGGACTGAAAAGCATCGGTCTGGGAAGACAAAAGAACTTACAGCAGCGCACGACCTCCTCAGTGATCGACTTCCGCGTCTTCAAACTGCCCCGCCACTACTGGCGCTACGTCCACTTCCATCCCGTCTGAAAAAGAAAGGGGCAAACGCTCGGTGAGAGCACAGGCAAGGGGCTGATGCCACCCCCTCTGCTGACAAGAGACACAAAACTCCGTCGCTGAACTTCTGAAAGCGGCTCAAGGCAACGCCGACGCACTCATGAGTTTGTGGGTTTTGTTCCGGCTCTGTCAGTCCAGCCCCTTGAAGACATGCTGCTTCCTACAACCTCATCCCACCCCTTCTTATTAAAAGACTTAAACATCAGATTTAACCTATTTCGGGAGTTCCAGCGTAACAAACGCCACGGAGCCTTGGAGTAGCTTTAATTATGCTCTAAGAGAAAGTGGCTGGATCCTGCTCTGAAACCGCTCTCGGCAATCATGTTGAAGAAAGAAACAATTGTTCTACGATGTCCAAAAATAATGTGATTCTGAAACTAAGCAGCCCTGGGGATATCAATGATTGCAGCAAACCAAGCAGTACCGTGGCAAATAAGATTAGGAAGGCAAATAAAACTGATGAAGATGGCTTTGAGAGAGGTGACATATTTGCTGCTCAACCTAATTCTGATTTTCAAAATCTCGGGGTTCAGAAACCTGACAAAATTCTCAAACTAAGGGCACTGCTGAAACATGAGTATGTCCGCTAGGGTTATCGTCACATTATACACGTGTATTCACAACGAGAACCTGTAAATAACTGACAAAAGAGATAAAAAACCCCACCCATGTGGATGGGAACAGATTAGTTATTATTCTGCTGCCTCTTCTGGGGAAGCCGATAACCAGAAATCACAGAACCACAGAATGGAAGAGACCTCTGGAGACCATCTAGTCCAACCCCAAATCCAAATCCACAACAGCTGCGCCATTTTTCATCCTTCAGAAGCGTCAGGCTGTACTTAGACACTGTGATTTATATCATAAAAAAAAAAAGAAGTAATACTACTAAACCCCTTCTTTTCCCAGCTAATATAGTGCTCCTGTGAAAACAGCCGTCAGAAAAGGCAAAAAATTAAGAGATGTTGTGCTTTCATATATTCTTTGCTAAAACAAAGGCCTTTCTTACCTTCATACTCCCTGATGGAGTCCTCTGTCCTCACCCCGGCCATGTTGTACTGGCTGCTGACCGACTGGGCTAACATGCCCTCTAACCTCTCCAGCGTGGCCTGACCTTCCGCCGTTAGATGCGACAATCCTTCCTCGTAGGTGTAAAAGCTCGGGATGTCGCCGTGTTCTAGCTCTGCGAAAACAAGTTGAATGTTTCTCAGACCAAAGTCAAGGAGCCTGGATCAAGCAGGGGAGGAGGAACACGGCAACAGCCTGAGAAATGACGCTCAGATTCACTGACTGGGATTAAAAGGTTACAGACCGTACACCCTGACGGGTGCCGATGGCGCTGATCTTGCGCCACCACATCCAGCAGCAACAGGAAAGGCTGGTATTTGTGTCGGGGGGCTTTTGAGAATGACAGTCACAGAACGTTTGGGGTTCAAAGAGAACTTTTAAAGTTCATCTCGTCCAAGCCCTGCAGAGAGCAGGGACAGCTGTCACTGGGTCAGGCTGCTCAGAGCCCCATCCAGCCTGACCTGGAATGTCTCCAGGGATGGAGCCTCCAGCACCTCTGGGCAACCTGGGCCAGGGTCTCCCCACCCTCCTTGTGAAAAATTTCTCCCTTATATCCAGTCTAAATCTCCTCTCTTTTAGTTTAAAACCACTGCCCCTTGTCCTGTCACAACAGGCCCCGCTAAAAAGGTCCTGCAGGGGAAGCTCCAGGTAGCCAGGAGCTGGCAGGCGGGACAGCAGAAATGACGGTTACGAACCGTGGGCCTCGACGTCGTACTCCTCCCCTTCGTAGTCGTTGTCTGAATCCTCATCGTCCGGGTCCGGGTGCAGAGCCTGGCACTCGCACATGGCTGCAAACATGGCTTCCACTGCAGGGACACAAGGGAACGCAAACCTGCCTCGTCTGTCCGCCAGCACCCCACAGCAACAGGCAAGGAACCCCGGGCCGAGTGATTGGGGGAGGTTAAGAACGTTCCTTTGCCAGAACGACCACCGAACTCACACCTTAAAACATCACCCAAGCAGCCACGCACAAAACAAACCCGGCTGGGGGCTTTACCCTCTTAACAGCACTTTTCCATTATTGCACGGAAGATAAAAGCTCATCCCTGGACAACTCGGGCTGTGGTTACCCCCTGCAGGATTCCTTGCAGCACCGAATACAGAAGATTCTTAAAACCTGGATCCAGGCGTAAGCTCTGCGCTGGACGGGATACGACTGCCTTCCGGCAGCAGCGTCTGGACATTCCTAACGAAATTGTCGCTGACTCAACCATGACTGAATTAGTAATTTAAAATATGTTTCCTATACAAGTTCTCTGCGAGCGCACATAGATAAGATTCCCCGTGTCATGCACTTTAAAGTCTCCATCTGAAAGCACTGGAAGCAGCTGCTTGAAAGGTTCCAGCTTCAAGCAAGATGAAACCATTTGCTTGCTCTGTTCAGCACCCAGAAATCAAGTACTGAGAGAAGGACGCTAAAGGATCACGTCATTTACATCCGCGTGCCCCACAGCCTTCCACCCTGAGCCGGACTTGAGGCTAAAACGCGGGTTCCCTCGTCACTTACAGGCTGATTTGTCGCTCGGTACAAATCGGAATTCCGCAATCGGTTCAGAATCGTCATCGCTGTCGTCCTCCTCCTCCCCTTCGGCCACGGGAGCCTCTTTCGTCTCCTCTTTAGGGAATTGAAAGACACAAGAAAAATATGTTTAGTCTGTCTAGAAAAAGTCACATTTATTTATTCTTTCAGGAACACACACACAAAATCCTATCAGAAACCTGGCAAAAACCCCAGAGGCACACACCAGCCCACTCCTCTCCACATTACGGATACACGAGGCCCTCGGCAACAATTGCAACGCGCACAAACTTTTCTCTATTTATCATTTTAGGACTTCAGATTTCTGTAATGGCCACGTGGTGTATCCGTGTACTTCAGGAAAACTGCCCGATTCTGATTAAAAAAGCCCACACAATTCACAATCATCACCAGTTACATGCACAACGTTCTACCTGTATTTTTAAAAATCACATTAATTTCGCAGGGCTTTAACACCACTGTCATGAAATCAACTCGTTTGCAGCGTGGCCTCTCACAGAGGATGGTGGAATTTATGGAAGAGCTCGATTTTCAGTCTGGGGGAGGCTGAGGGGAGACCTTCTTGCTCTCCACAACTACCTGAAAGGAAGTTGTAGGGAGGTGAGGTCAGTCTCTTCTCCCAAGTAACAAGTGACAGGACAAGAGGAAACGGCCTCACGTTGCGCCAGGGGAGCTTTAGATTGGATATTAGGAAAAATTTCTTTCCTGAAAGAGTGGTGAAGCCCTGGCACAGTCACCATCCCTGGAGGTGCTCAAAAACCATGTGGAGAGCGGCTGCAGCCGGGGACACCGTGCTGACAGCCTCAAAAGCTCCCAATTCTACGGAAAAAGAGGACCACAGCCGAGCTCTCCATCCCAGAGCGGCTTTTATCCCCAACAGAACTGGCACCGCCACGAATCTCATGAAGCCAAGAAGCTGCCAGCCTGCTGCTCCCAAAACAAAGTGCCCGGGGGAGCTGCCCAACCCTTTTCCAGCTGACGCCCACCGGCGCGGCCCACTCCTGCAGAGCCCAGCTCTGCCGCCGGTGAAGTCAACCCCCGCGTGCCGCCTCTGGGAAAAAGGGACGAGGATAAGGCACACGCACACCGAGAGCACAACAAACGCTTTCAGGGGAAGAAAAAAATGGAATCAGACAACTCAGAGTGAAGACTTCCACAGTCAAAGAAGTGGAGAGGTCTGGGTTGAACAGGGGTTAAAACTGCAGGTCTGGAAACAAAACAAACCTACTCCCTGATTTACTGTAGTCAGAGTTCATATATTTGAAAAAAAAGAAAAAAAAACCCACAAAAATCAGTCTATTAAAGATTTATAGGTAAGAAGTATCAGAGGATATCCGTATTTTCAAACATCGTTATCAGCACCAATTAAAAGCTGGAATCAGTATCTTTCTTCAGACCAGGCTCCATTTCCTTCAAAATAAATGCAGTTAAAGAAAAATGAGGACGATTAACCTGGAGGTGGACATACATCACCTCGCACTATTTTTAGTGACAGACTGTCAGAAAACAGGAGCAATGCGAGAGAAGGAAATAATGAAGAGTATTAATAGCTCCAAACGCCTCTGCCTCCTCAGAGCCTTGTCAGCACGATCAGCCTATAAACTATTTACAGAAAAATTAAACACTGGATTTTAACTTTTAATTACAACGATTAGGAGGCACGAAGGGAAGAGAGATCTGCTTGAGCCTTAACACCCGTTACTCTCCAACTGAGACAGCAGCCTGTGACACACTTAAAGTATTAAAAACTCTGCTGCAAGGAAAAAAAAAGATACAACAAAAATACCGAAAATCTTCATAGAAGCAGTGAAACACAACGCTCGTTTTCTCTGGGTCAAAGCAAGAACGGTCAAAAGGCTCGTTCCGCGGGAAATCTATAAAGACCCATCAAGTTTGATAACACAAGCTGCTGTTTTGTTTGGTCTTTTTGTGTTTTGTCGGGTTTTTTTTAACCAAGCTGTGGGAGAAAATGAATGAAAGCTTCCAGGGTCATGTGAAACAGC